GCCTGGCCACTGAGGTTGCCTCAAACCTGTGATCCTCCTGTCTCAACTTCCCAAATTTCAAGTAGTATAAATATGGGCCACCCCATCCATCCTTGGGACAATAGTTTGATTTTGACTTATTTTTTGAGACAGGGTCTTTTGGCTGGCCTCGTGCTCACTCTGTAGCTGAGGATGACCTTGAACTCCTGATTTTTCTGCCCCTGGGATTACCATTCGTTATCATATCTTCTAGAGAAAGGAATCGGGGTACAGGCAATAGGCACGGCCCCAGCAAGTTGTGGATTTGAACCTGGGTCTGCTGTGTTTTCTGTGTGGGAGTGGTTCTACAGAAAGACCACAGGGTGAGGGGGTGTGGGAGCAAGCCAGGCTGGCCTGGCCTAAGCTGGAGGGGGGCAGGTGCCGCACTCACCAAACATGGCCTTTAGCCTCAGGAAGCAGTTGATGAAGCTGTCAAAGTCCACGATCATGTGATCATCCGCATACCTAGCCACCACCACCTCAGTTACCTTATTGGTCATCTTAATGCCTAGGAGACAGATGGGGCGCGGGAGGCAGAATTCAGGTCCCCAGACTTGACTTCCCAGCTCCCTGTCTCTGGACAGCCTCATGCTCCCTGGCCACCTGCTTTCTCTATTGCCAAGCGCATCTCGTAGGAGTTCAAGGTCCCAGAGCGGTCTTCATCACACTCTTTGAAGATGTCCTGGAGACAGATGTCATCGGGCCGCATGTGTAGCATGGTGGTTGAAATAAGAGAATAGTGCAGTATGACTGACTTATACAGCTGCCCAAGACCCTGGAGCCCCACCACCCTGACCAACCACTTGAATCTCTAAGGTTCCTGTCTTCTCGTGGTTGAGGGGTTAACCCTTGGTAAGGGGATGTTAGTACCCTGCCCAGTGCATTCTGCAGGCACCCTTTATCACTACTCCAGGCTATACGGTTACTAACCAGTTTGTGTGTGTGTGTGTGTGTGTGTGTGTGTGTTGTGTGTCTCTGTTTGTTTTCAGTTGTAATGGCTTTGTTGGTAGTTCCCACCCTTCTTGGCTGTCTCTTTAGGGCTCGTTACCGTCCATTTCTTGATCTTTTTCCACAGGATCTGGAACTCCAGAAGACCCAGCTTGCCAGTACCATCTTTCTAGAGGGACTAGTCAAGGATAAAAGTGAAAAGGCATCTGAAGGGTAAGGGAACAGAAGGCCTGGACACAGGCTTGGGGTTCCTGAATACTAACAGCCAGAAGTGGAGTCTTTAGCTACCCTCCAAATCTAACCCCTATCACAAAGGAGGGTCCTGAGGCTGGCTGGAGAGATGGCCACTTCTGAGTCAGCCTTGGAGGGCAGCGGAGAAGATGGGAAATAATTGGTTAAGATTATTAATGGGTTAATCCCAAGAGGGCAGGAGGATACATCCATGAGGTTGATCATGCGGCGACAGACATCTAAGCTAAAGCCTCTAGTCTTGAAGTTCTTGACTGTGAGGGAGGCAAGGTGGAGGAAGAAGAGAAGAAGGAATGCTGTGTGGGACATGGGTGACCGTTGTAGGGATGGACTCTGAGGGTGGGGTGGACCGCTTACATTTATTCGCCAGCTTGTTGAGGAGCTTGTGAAGCTCATACATGTCTACTTCCTTGTCCTAGGAAGAGAGACTGCAATCACCTCCTCTGCCCCTTGGGCCCAGTGGCCACCTCCCTTCAGCCTCTGCCCCTGGTCTTCTCACCTTGTCTGCCACCATCTCAAACAAATGGATGGAGTCCTGGTCCAAATCCTTCTCAGAGATGGTCTCCTGGGGAAGAGAAGCCGGGGAGGGAGGGAGCCAGTCTCAAAAACATCCTTCACACCCTCGACCCCTCAATCCCAAAGCTTTCTATTACCTCTTGGAAATGCTCAGCCCGGTTGACTTCATCCAGCAACCTGGGCATAAGAGAGTGAAGGTTTGGGGTGACTGGGGGCCAGCGAGATGGGGTTCTCAATGAGGTGACCCGGGGAAGGTCCTGTCATTGCATATGGAGCAGTACTGAACAATCCATCAACGCTGGGCTCTAGTTTTACTGTTTCTATTACCAATTTAGACCTCACATCCTCATGCCTCAGTTGACCTGAGTGTAAAATAGGGTTGACGTGGAGGAGGGGCCAGAACCTGACATCCTGCATCCCTTGGGCAGGGAACCTCGCCAAAGTGAGGTCAGCCCTCACCAGGTCTCACTGTGTTTTTCCGTAAAGACCCGAAGCAGGAAGTCAGCGTCTTTATGGGGCTCAAAGGTGGAGGGGATAATGATGTATTCCCCTGGAGGCAGCCGAAGATGACTGTGCACCTCTCGTGAGTTGGTAAAGATCTCTGAAAAGCCGTGGTCCCGATATTTCAGGAAGAACTCTTTCTTCAGATGGATGTCCTGGAGGTTCTGAAACTGTATGTACCCTGGAGGTGGGTACGGTACTAGCACAGGAGAGCCAGGAGGGTGCATCTCCCAAGGTGATCCATTTGGGGGGCAGGACTGGTGGTGGGTATGAGTACCACTGCTGTGGCCTGGACTCCTCCCATGCAGTCAAAAACCCCAGTATGGTCTCACCCTTCCCTGACTCCCACCGTTGGGTGGTAGGGGTTGGACTCCTAACTCAGGGTTCCCCAGAACCATTCTCCAGATCACCCCCCTTGCCAACCCACATGCAGCCAGGGGTGAGCTGGACACCTGCCCAGGAGTAAGCCTTTTGTACCTCCTTTGGGACCTGAAAAGAAAAGAGAGGGTCATATCTTCAGGGCGGTGAAGGGGCTCTAGCCTTCAACTATGTGAGTGTGCACCGTGTGTGTGCGCATGAGCATGTGAGCACAAGTGTGAGCCTGGGTTGGGGTTGTCAGGGCACTGGAGCAATGGTGGTGGGTGGGATGTAGGCTGTTGGCATTAAGAATTTGTCCATTTGGGATTTCAAAGTACAGTTTGCACAAAGTTTACAAAGGCAGATTTTTATCACTCTGGGTTAAGGACAGGGGATAGAGTCCTAGAGAGGCAGGGATGGTTTGCTAAAAGGCAAAGAGCGTTGGGATGTGAGCCCAAGAGTGTGCTGCTAGGATGGCACTTCACGGAGCGTCACCTACAGGAATGGCGTAGGTGGCTACTGAAACTGAGGAGCAAATACATTGGAATGTCTGCCCCCCATCCCCACCCCCGTAGCCCAGGCTTTGAATCTGCCATGTAGCAGAGGATGACTTTAAACTTCTGGTCCTCCTGCTTCCGTCTCCCAAGTGCTGGGATAACAGACGTGTGCCACAGTGCCCGGTCTCATGCATTGCTGGGGACAGGACCCAGGACTTCTTGCACATGAGTTACATCACTAATTTTTGTTTTGTTTTGATTTTTAGAGACAGGCCGGTCTCTAACTATGTAGCCGAAGCTGGCCTTGAACTCTGGATTCTTCTGGCTTCTGAAGGCACCTTCATTTGTGTGCACATACCCACACAGAGACACATACACATAATTCAAAGTTAAAGATCTTACATGTGTGGTGGTGCACACCTTTGATCCCCTCATATGAGAGGTGGAGGCAGGCAGATCGCTGTGCGTTTGAGGCCATCCAGGTCTGCATAGACAGTTCCAGGCCATCTAGGGCTACGTAAAGAGACTCTGTCTCAACCAAATTAAATTAAAAAAAAAATTGTATTTTCAAATAAGTTCGCACAAGATGAATTAAATCAGCTCAAATAAAATAGGTGATCGCCAAGGTTTGGGTGTCTGTCATTCTAAAACTTACATGGGAACTTAATAAATACCAAGGTCACGTGTCAATGGCATTTGGAGATGGTTTTGGATTAGATGAGGTCATGAGAGTGATGGCCTGGGCCTGCGATGGCATTAGTGGCTCTATAAGAGGAGGAGGAAAGGACCAGGATGATGGCTTTAGTGGGCAAAAGCATTTGCCACTCAGGGCTAGTGACCCAAGTTCAACCCCTGAACCCACGTCCCCCAATTTTAGTATATGTATTGCTGAAGCAAGCACTCCTGGAACCCACTTTAAAAAACTAGGCCAACCTGGTCTACAGAGGGAGATCCAGGTCAGCCTGGTCTACAGAGGGAGTTCCAGGTCAGCCTGGTCTACAGAGGGAGTTTTAAGACAGCCTGGTCTACAGAGGGAGTT